TTCCTGCTACGGCTGTGTCTGGTGTCCTGCCTAGGCGAGACGCCGCTCTGCCATGGCTGAGATGCTCCTCGGAAGGCCCATGCTCGCCAGGCAGCGTAGTATTGATCGTGCCTTTGGACTAGCCACTGAATCGCATGCTTTGCCCGTTGAGTTTTGCAAGCAACCTCAATGGAAGCTAGACCGACTCCTCCGGCCTGCTTAGGCGTAAACAGCAGCCCTGGGTTTATCTTGTGACGGCTAGCTTCAGTACTTGTTGAGTGCTTCCTTAGAAACTGCTTTTGAATGTTGCGAAGTCGTTGGGCCACCCATTTTGGCATTTCGACAGCTGCCGCCGTGAATAGGATGGCCGGAAGCATGATAACGTTAAGAAGCATAACTCTGTTCTCGACACTGTGTGTTAGTTGGGCCGCTGTTGCCAGTCGTTTTTGCACTGCCCTTATTCGTGCTGCCCAGTTCACTTCTGTTAGTGATCCGGTGCCGACTTGGTATCCCAGGTAACGCACAGTTTCCCCTAGTGGGAGCACTGGAATTCCATGCAATCTTGTCATTTCCACTGCAGTATTTAGGAAGATGACTTTGCTTTTAGTCGGTTGTACTTGAAGTCCTGATAGTTCTCCAAATCGTTTCACTATTTCCAACACCCGTGGTAATTGCCGCGCTTCTTGAAGGAAGACAGTGGAGTCGTCAACGAAGGCTGAGAACTTGTGCGTTGTCCCAGTTGTTCCCGGTACGTGTAAATCTTCGGTCTGTTCATCTTGCTGAATTGCTAACGCGAGCACCTCTGCGGCGAGAATAAATAGGAGGGGAGCCAACGGGCAACATTGACGAATACCCGAGATCACTTCTTGTGGGTCTGAAAGCTCGCCATTGACGAGGAATCTCGCCGTTGTTCCGTTGTGCAATTTCTTCAGCATTTGCACAAACTCCGGCGAAAATCCAAACCGAGTCAGGACAAGAAATAGAAATTCCCTTGCTACGGTGTCGTAGGCTTTCTTGAAATCCAACAGTAGAATTACTCTACTAAGAGCTGCTACTAGCTCAGGTTCAGCGTTTGCCGTTGCGAGAATCGCTAGCATCATCATTACAGTTTTCATCATTTGACGCCCGTGCACGAACCCTTGCTGTGAAGACCCAATGGGTTTGCCTAGGACGCGTTGTGCCCGGGTTGCCATAACCTTGGTGACTATTTTGTACCCTGTCTGAAGTAACGAAATCGGCCTGAAATCCATTGCATCGTCGGAATCACCCTTTTTCTTGAGAGGGATGATTAATGCCTCGAGGAATGAGGGGGGCGGTTCACCGCCTTTGAGTAACTCGTTGCTGATTGCTGTGAGAACGGGCACGAAGTTGGTTTGTGTGTCCTTGAAGAAGTCATTGTTAAGCCCATCCGGACCGGCTGCTTTGTGTCGGTTGAGGGCAGCTATTGCGGCTGTTACCTCTTGCTCAGCTACTGGTTCCATGAGAAAGTTGCTATGATAGCTTCCGATCATCCGGTATTTGTACGAATTTGTCAAATTCGCGCTCGAGGTCAGCTTTCGGGACTGTACTGTGAATTTTGCCCAGGATTGGAGTCCATTCACTAGAAAATTTGGTCGCCATATTCATCTCACGATCAAAACCCGCTCCATGAAGATGTCGGATTCTAGCTATCGTTTGGTCTCGTTCCCAATTAGACACTCTCTTAAAGTCCCATCTCAACCGGTCTGCCGTCCTTTCAAGTCTTTGGCCAAGACGTATAAGATGTTCCTCTCTTCTCTCCTCCATTGTGACTTCTAGCAGCGCTTTTCGCGTTAGCAGGTGGACACGACTTTGGGCGTTCAGTTTGTGTTTGAACGCTGAACGCCTCTTCTTTTCTTGCTTGGCAAGGCGGCTGATGCAGATTCCATACTTCTGGACAGTGCTATCCCATGTTTGTGACGTTTCCTGATATCCGACTCCTTCGTCTACTAATGCGTCTAGCAGCGCCTCTTGCACTCTAGTTGGTTGCGATGTTCGAATGGAATATCCGAGTCCTCGTTTCTTCGATCGGGTCACCTCTTGCGACTGTGCCCCTGCTAGATGTAAAAGCACCTGCTGATGATCGGATGGAGTGGTGGGTTCAAGCGCTGACAGCCACTGCACCTTGGCCGTCCACGAGGCGTGTACATAAAATCTGTCGATTCGACTCGCCGCTTCCGGCCCACAATACGTGAAGTACTCCGTGTTTTCGAGTTTGTCCGCTCCATCGTCCGTTTGTCCTGCCAGTATGCAGGTGTCTTCCAACTGGAGCTGTCGCAGTAGGTCTGGTAGGGCTGCGCTTTCCGGACGACCTGTACGGTGGCCTCCAAGTCGGTCGATGACCGGACTAAGAACACAGTTAAAATCTCCGGCTACAATTGTTTCACAAGCTTCCCATGGCCATGCTTGGAGTCTGCCGAAGAATTGCTCTCGCTCTTCGTGGCTGTTGGGAGCGTATACGTTGACTAATGTACGCTCTCGCATCTTGATTGCTATGACTCGTCGCGTCCAACGCTCCTGGAGCCATGGGGAGACTTGATC